ACAGCGAGAGAGGGAACACAAGCAGGGGGAGTGGGAGAGGGAGAAGCAGGCTTCCCGCCGAGCAGGGAGCCCGATGTAGGGCTTGATCCCAGGACCCTGGGATCATGACCTGAGCCGAAGGCAGACACTTAACGACTGAGCCCCCCAGGCGCCCCCGAGGGAAGATTTTGAATAACTCATAAGCCTATTTAGATTATGTATTTCTTCATTAGTCAGTTTTGGTAATTTGGTATTTCTAGGGACAAATCCCCAGAAATGACATACAGATGTTCATAATATTCCCTTATAATCATTTAAATTTCTTTAGGGTCAGTAGTGTTGTTCCTTTCTTCATTCCTGATTTTGATAATTTGTTTCCCCGCCCCACTCCTTTTTTTAAATTAGTTTAGCCGAATATTTGTCAATTTTGTTGATCTTTCAGAGAACTAACTTTGGGTTTCATTGATTTTCTTTTTTATTATTTTTCTGCATTCTAGTCTATTGATCTCTGCTCTGATCTTATTTCCTTTCTTTTGCTTGCTGTAGGCTTGATTTACTCTTCTCTTTCTAATTTCTTAATTGTGGAAGCCTAGGTTATTGATTTGGGACTTTTCTTCCCTGGTATCAGTGTTTAAAGCTATGCATTTCCTTCCTACATTGCTTTAGATACATCTCAAATTTTGATGTGTCTTTGTCTTCATTTGGTTTAAAAGTATTTTCCATTTGATTTATTCTTGATATGTGGGTTACTTAGAAAATGTTTAATTTCCAAATATTTGGGGATTTTTAAAATTTATTTTCTGTTTTATAATTTAATTCAGTTGTGGTTGGGAAACATGCTTTGATTTCTGTCCTTTTAAATGTATTGACATTTATTTCGTGACCGGCACTTATTACATCCTTAAGAACTGTCCATATGTACTTGAAAAGAATGTATTTTACAGTCATTGGGTTGAATGTTTTAGGTTAAGTTGGGTGATTATGTTGTTCTATATCCTTGATGATTTTCTGTCTAGTTCTATTGATCATTGGGTCAGTATGGACATTTCCAACTATTATGGTTACCCGATCTATTTCTCCTTTCATTTTGTCAGGTTTTGCTTCATGTATTTTGAGGCTTTTTTGTTAAGTGTGTATGTGTTTATCATTGTTATATCATCCTGATGTATTACCTTCTTTCTCATTATGAAATATCTTTTTTTCTCTTATAGATTTTTGTCTTAAATTCTACTTGTCTGGTATTAATATAGTCAGTCCTAATCTCTAATGGTGACTGTTTGCATGGCCTATCTTTTCCCATCTTTTTACTTTCACCCTGTTTGTATCTTTGAATCTAATGTGTGTCTCTTGTAGACAGCATATAATTGGATCTTGCTTTTTTATTCTGTCTGGCAATCTCTATTTTTTGGTTGGGGTAATTAGACTATTTACATTTAACATAATTATTGATATAGTTGGATTTACTTCTGCCATTGTGCTATTTGCTCTATATGTCTCCTGCCTTTTTTTGTTTGTTTCTCTTGTCCTCTTTGACTGCTTTGTTTTGTCTTAAATGAGTATTTTCAGTGTATCATTTTAATTTTTCTGTCAATATTTTCACTTTTTTTCAGTTTTTTCTTAGTTGTTGCTCTAGGGATTAGCATATGCATTTTACTTTACCACAGTCTACTACCTCAGATTAATACTAACTTAATTTTAGTAAAAAATGGAATCTTTTCTCCAGTATAGTTTCATTCTCTCTGGGCTCCTATTTGCTATAATTGTCATGCGTATGATGTGTATGTGTTATAAGTCCAACAATATACAGTTGATCCTTGAAGAACGTGGGGGCTAAGGGAGCCAACTTCCCAGGTAGTCTAAAATCTGCATATAATTTTTGACTCCTCCAAAATTTAACTGCTAATAGCCTACTGTTGACCAGAAGCCTTATTGATATCATAAACAACACGTATTTTGTGTTTTATGTAGTATATGCTGTATTCTTACAATAAAGTAGGCTAGAGATAAGAAACTGTTACTAAGAAAATTATAGGGCGCCTGGGTGGCTCAGTTGGTTAAGCGACTGCCTTCGGCTCAGGTCATGATCCCAGGGTCCTGGGATCGAGTCCCACATTGGGCTCCCTGCTCGGCGGGAGGCCTGCTTCTCCCTCTCCCACTCCCCCTGCTTGTGTTCCTGCTCTCGCTGTCTCTGTCAAATAAATAAATAAAATCTTTAAAAAAAAAAAAAAGAAAAGAAAAAGAAAATTATAAGGAAGAGAAAATAACTTTGCAGTACTCTATTATAAGAAGTTGGCATATAAATTAACCCATGTGGTTCAAACCTGTTGTTCAAGGGTCAACTATAATGTTATAATTATTGCTTTATAACATTTTATGTCCTTTAAAGTAGTTGAGAGAAATGAAAACAATTTATCTATGGACTCTTTTATATCAGCTCACATATTTATCATTTCTAGTGCTCTTTTTTTTCTCCTTGATTATTCACATCACTGTTTAGTGTAAATCTTTAAGTCTAAAGACTTCCTTTAGTATTTTTTGTAAATCTGTCAGCAGTGCATTCTCTGTCATTGCTTCCCTGGTAATGTCTTTTTTAGCCTTTGTTTTTGGAGGATAGTTTGCTGGATATAGAATTCTTGTCTTTATATTTCAGCACTTTGACTATGGCATTCTACTGCCCTAGTTCTTCCATTGTTCTGGTGGAAAGCTAGCCATTGATCATATTGATGTTCCCCTGTAAAAACTACTCATTTACTCATTACACAATGAGTAGTTTTTACCTTGCTGCTGTCAAAAATCTTCTCTTTGGCTTATGGTGTGTCTCTGTGTGGGTCTTTTTCTGTTTATCCTCCATGGGGTTTTTTGAGAGACTCAAGTGCATGGATTAGTGCTTTCATCAAATTTGGGCAATTTTTTTTTTCATTATTTCTTCAAACATTCCTTTTGCCCCTTTGTGTCTCTCTTTTCCTTCTGGGACTCCTATTATGCAGTTGTTCATACCCTTGGTCATATTCCATAGATCTCCAAGGCTCTGTTCTTCTTTTTTCTTTGTTTTGCTCAGCTGGATTATCTTAGTTTACCTACCTTCAGGTTTACTCATTTCTTTCTACTGCCAGTGCAGATCAGCTGCTGAATTGCAGATTTGAATATTTCATTCATTATTGCACTTTACAAATCCAGAATTTCTATTTGGTTTCTTTAAAAACAACAACACAATAAATAAACCAAAACTCATTTCTCTTTATTGATATTATCTCTTTGGTGAGGTATGATTGTCATGTCTTTAATTCTCTTTAATTCTTTACACATGGTTTCCTTTATTGCTTTGAACATGTTTATATTCATTGACAGAGTCTTTGTCTGGTACATCCAATGCCATATCTAATACCTGGGCTTCCCCAAGAATAATTGCTATGGACTGCATACTTTACTCTTTCTTTACACGTGTCATAACTTTTTGTCAAAAACTGGATATTTTAAGTATTGTGGTAACTCTAGTAATCACATTTCCCTCTTCCCCATCCTCAGAGGTTGTTATTGTTGCTGCTTGTTATTGTCATTTATTTAGTGTCTTTCCTGGACAAATTCTGCAGTCTTACTCTTTGTCACATGCAGTCACTGAAGTCTCTGCTTAATTAGCTAAGTCATCAGCTGATGATTTGACAGAGTTTCTTAAATGATTTAAGCCAATAGGTCTCCAACTCTTTTTCTAATGGGCACTTTGTGTGTTGGGACATGGCTTCCATGCTCTGGCAGTTTACAACTCTGCCTTAGCCTTCACTTCCTACATGCACAGAACCTCAAAGGCAAGCACGGGTGAGAGGTTAGGCCTTATCTTGTCTTTCCTGGGTATTTGCACGGCGTTCTACATGTGCATGGCCTTCTGGATCCCCAGGAATGTGTCAGAAATTGCCAAAGTCTCCCATGGAGCTCTTGTTTCTCAGATTTTCCTTTTGAGTTTTTTGGCCAGCCTCTTGTTTGCCCCAGGTGGAGTCACTGCCCCTGGCAACTGCAGTGTTAAACAGTTGCCACTGATTTTTTGGGACAAACTTGCTGAGGCTAGGGCTTTCCTCACTGATTGGGCTCTGAGTCAGATGAAACAAAGATTAGCTCCATGAACGGGGCTTTTCTAGGGAGCACCAGTCAGGTCGAATAGTGACAGTTCCCTGGGGACAGGGCTTCTGAGGGAGCTCCAAACCCATCAGCCTCCTCCAATGGCTGCTAGGCTGCTGGCTGTCATAGCTACTGCAATTCTGAGGCTGCTGATTTCCAAGGCCACCATGAAACTGGGAAGAGGCACTAGAAATACAGCAAGTGAAAACATCAGAAAGCTTGTTTGCTGTTGTTAGGAAGATTCAGCTATTTTCCTTGAATAAATGTTTTTGGGATTGTTGCAGGCCTTTGGCTAATTTCTAGAGTGCTGAAAAAGTTAATTTTGAAAATTTATGCCAGTGTTCTCATTGCTTTTTGGAGGAATGGATTTTCAGAGGTCCTTCATCCATAATTCCAAAAGTGCTTCTCACTCTGCCTGTGTTTTTTTGTTTGTTTTTTTTTTTAAGATTTTATTTATTTATTTATTTGAGAGAGAGAGAGAGAGAAACAGCATGAGAGGGGAGAGGGTCAGAGGGAGAAGCAGGCTCCCCGCTGAGCCAGGAGCCCGATGTGGGACTCGATCCCAGGACTCCGGGACCATGACCTGAGCCGAAGGCAGTCGCTTAACCAACTGAGCCACCCAGGTGCCCACTCTGCCTGTGTTTTTAAGTGTTGTGCATATTACACCTGTTCTTTTTGATATCTGATGATGCCCTATGTGTATTTATTGTCAGCCATGAAAGTCCACTCTTTGATTTCATTGAGAGCTGCTTGCGAAATAAACATGAAATGGTTATTTATGAAGCTGCGTCAGCTATCATCCATCTTCCTAACTGTACTGCCAGGGAGTTGGCACCTGCCGTTTCAGGTTAGTTGTGTGTTTGATAGCTGGATTTTGTTTATATTCGTATGTTTTTGTTTTAAGTTCCATAGTTCTGCAGGATAGGTAGTAAGAATGATTTTTGAACCTTAGCTCTATTATATATACCTTTGTGTTGTGGTATATAGATGATTTATTTTTGTTGTTCTTTACTTAATTACCTCTTTTTCTGAAGTTACCATTTCCCTATATAAAACATTAAAAATTTTTTGCTTGGAATCAAGTAACTTTCATGCCTTCAGTTCTCTTTCATGTTTAAAAAGTCCATTTGCTCTTATAACTATAAATATTGCTACCACAAATTCAGATATTAGTGGGTATATGAATTCTTATAGAAAAATAAACTTTGTTTCCTATATTTATACTTTTTATAGTTTAGCAAAAAGTGTTTTTACTATTTTTGATGATACATTTCTCATGTGAAGTTTTGATGCTGTGATCTAATCTCCTTATGCATATTTTGAATACTATACTTTATGTACTGTATTTTCAGATATATGCAATATGATGAAATGAGCTATATTCACAGCGATCTTTTTTTCTTTCTAGTTCTTCAACTGTTCTGTAGCTCTCCTAAGCCAGCTTTGAGATACGCAGCTGTGAGGACCTTGAACAAGGTAGGTGTCCCTTTGCCAACTGTTGACTTATATCAATGTTTGATTGAGAATCATTACATGTGAAGCATTTGGCTTTCTCCCCAAGGTTAGTAAATAGGATTTATGGGCTTCACTTCTATAGCAGCTTCCTTGTATTTGTGGCCTTAGGTGTGGCCATTTTTACTATTCAACTAAAGATTATAATTCGACTTCTGAGCACTTTATAGCTGAGAACCACATTGTCCAATATGATGGCCATTAGCCGTGAGTGGCTATTTCCATTTAAATTAAGTAAAATTAAATAAAATAAAAAATTTAGCTCCTCAGTCACTCTAGTCACACTTTATGTGCTCAGTAATCATGTGGTTAGTGAGTCTCATATTGGACAATGCAAACATACCGAACATTTTTATCACTGTAGAAAGTTTTCTTGGACAGTGCTGGTGCAACACAATGTGAGTCACGTGTAATTTTAAATTTTATAGTAACCACATTAAACATTTTTTAAGATGAAAATAATTTTAATAATTTATTTACCCTAATATATGTAAAATGTCATATCAACATGGAATTGGTGTAAAAGTATTAAAGATCTATTTTGCCTTATATTTTTTCACACTAAGTCTTGACATCCAGTGCTTATTTTTATGTTTAGAGCATATCTTAATTTGGACTAGCCACATTTCAAGTGCTTAGTAGTCACATTTGGTTATTGGCTACCCTACTGGACACCATAGGTTTAGACAATACAATTCAGAAACATAGAATAAACTAAATAACCATAAACATTTGAAATGAAAGTTTTTTTTTTTTAAAGATTTTATTTGAGAGAGAGAGCGAGCATGAGAGATCATGAGCCGGGGGGAGGGGTAGAGGGAGAAGCAGACTCCCTGCTGAGCAGGGAGCCTGACACGGGACTCGATCCCAGGAGCCTGGGATCCTGACCTGAGCTGAAGGCAGACACTTAACCAACTCAGCCACCCATTTCATTTCCTTGAAATGAAAGTTTAATGTAGTAGAAGACTTGTCATAAGGCAGTATGTGATCTATTATAAATTAATAGTATGAACAATTGGAGGCGAGAGAAGCCATGGAAAAACCTTTATAGGACAGCCACAAAAGAACCCTTTACAGAATAACAATTTGAATTGTTTTTTTAAGAAGTGATATAGGTCCACATTCCTTTATCTGTAAACTTGGGGCCAGATGTGCCTCAGAATTCAGTATTTTATGAATTTTAGGAAGGCAATATGGTGCTATCTCTTATATACTAACCCCACTGAGCCTAGAGCAGTACCCTACCATTAAACACATTAATATTTCTTTTTTTAAAGCCATATTAATATTTCTGTGCTATACATAGGACTATCCTCACTAAGTGGAATAAATTCATATTTAACTTGTTTTACATTAGTTTGGGTCAGATTTTCCTGTTAAATGAATTTTGATGCCAATACTTTGCTGAGTTTTCAAATTTTTTAAACTGTGGGTAAAGGATTCTATACCAATATTGAGATGGAGAAGTGAACAATTTTGACAAAAGCAAAGAAGCAGGAGAAGGACAGACATGTTTTAGTGGCTGGAGTTTGCTGAAATACAGAAGTGTTTTCTAAGTGATAAAATATTAACAGTCTTTGAGCAGTGTTTACTACAGTAGGTACGATTCTCCAAGATCCTTACATCTAGTAGAATAGATATCCATGTACACATGTACTATAAAGAGAAATAGGCCAACTGTAATAAAATAGACTGTGAGAGCGCCTGGGTGTTTCAGTCGGTTAAGCGTCTGCCTTTGGCTCAGGTCATGATCTCAGGGTCCTGGTATCAAGCCCCAAGTTGGGCTCCCTGCTCAGCGGGACCTCTACTTCTCCCTTTCCCTCTGCCTGTCTCCCCCCATTTGTGTGCTCTCTCTCTCTGAAATAAATAAAATCTTAAAAAACAAAACAAAACCACAGACTGTGATATTGTTACAAAGATTATAGAAACCTAGGAAGAGAAAGTGCTTTGTTATACTATGACTCTGGCAGTTAATCGTGTATCAAATGATATATCATAGCTTATTAATTGGAGATGTTCTTCTTAAAACAATTACTTTTGACCTATATTGCCCCATTTAGATTTTTAAAAGCTGCTTACCTTAATTAAAATGTCTATTTTCCTCTTTCTTTGTTTTTTAAAGTTCTGGTCTTCATTAGTAGCAGTTTGCTTATTATTTGTCTTGCCCTTCCACAAGGTGGCAATGAAGCACCCCTCTGCTGTTACTGCCTGCAATCTGGACTTAGAAAACTTGATCACAGACTCAAACAGAAGCATTGCAACCCTGGCCATTACTACACTCCTCAAAACAGGGAGTGAGAGCAGTGTGGACAGGCTCATGAAGCAGATATCTTCTTTTGTGTCTGAAATCTCAGATGAGTTCAAGGTAAAAGTTTAAATATGATCATGTTTCTCCCAGTCTCTGGCTTGCCTATTTCTTTTCTTAACAGTATCTTTTGATGAGCAAAAGTGTTAAATTTTTATGAAATTCAATTTATTAATTTCTTTCACTGTTCTATTGCCTTTGTCTACTTCCAGACCTTAAAGATATTTTCTTATGTTTTCTAAATGTTTTATGGGGTCAGCTTTTACATTTTGGTCTATTATCCAATTTGAATTAAATATATATATATTGTGTGTGATAAGTTCAGGGTTTTTTTTTCCATACTAATATCTAGTCATTCCAGCATAATTTTTGAAAAAGTCTTCTTTTTCCCCATCAGAGTGCTTTGGCATCTTTGTCTGAAAAGCAGATAACTGTATAACTGTAGGTATATATCTAGGTTCAACTGTAGGTATATATCTAGGTTCCTTATCACATTCTGTTGATCTATTTGTCAATCCTATGCCAGTACCATGCTGTATTGATTAATGTAGCTTTATGGTACTTCTTAAATGTAAAGCAGGTGGTCTTCCAACTTTGTCCTTTTTTTAATATTCTAGGTCCTTTACATTTCCATATAAAATTTAGGATCATTTTATAATTTCTATAAAATAAAGTCTGCTAGAATTATGATTGGAGTTATGTTGAATCTATAAATAAATCTGGGGGGAACTGACATCATAATGGTATTCTTCCAGTTCATGAATATGGTATACCTCTCCCTTTATTTAGGTCTTCTTTAATTTCTCTGAGCAGTGTTTTACAGCATTTATTCTATCGATCTTGTACACATCTTTCATTAAATTTATATCTAAATATTTTATGCTTTTATATCCTATTGAAATTTCTACTTTATTGTTTGCTAGTAGTATATAAAAATAGATACATATATTTTTTGCTTTCTCATAACTTGGTATCCTTGCTGAGTACCCTTATTGGTTCCAGTAGTTGTTATGCATTTCTTACAATTGTCTGTATACATAATCATGTTATCTGTGAATACAGACAGTTTTGTTTCTTCATTTCCAACCTAAATGCCTTCCCTTTCTTTTTCTTGCCTTATTAAAATGACTAGGATTTCCACTATAGTGTTGAATAGAACTGGTGAGAATGTGTCAGAGATGATCAAAAGAACAATAAAATAAATTTCAGTTAAAAGAATTAAAGTAGAAAGATTTTATTATTTCATTCTTATTTCTCAAATAAGTATAACTTGTTCTATTCACTCTCTTCTATATATCTAGACTTTTTATTTTTATTTTTTTTAGAGAGAGTACACAGGAGCACTGGGAGAGGGATAGAGAGAATCTTGAATCAGGCTACACGCTCAATGTGGAGCCTGACACAGGGCTCGATCTCAGGACCCTGAGATCATGACCTAAACCAAAATCAAGGGTCAGATGCTTAACTGAGTCACCCAGCCACCCCTATATCTAGACTTTTAAAAAACAAACAGCCTAGGGGCGCCTGGGTGGCTCAGTTGGTTAAGCGACTGCCTTCGGCTCAGGTCATGATCCTGGAGTCCCGGGATCGAGTCCCGCATTAGGCTCTCTGCTCGGCAGGGAGTCTGCTTCTCCCTCTGACCCTCCTCCCTCTTATGCTCTCTGTCTCTCATTCTCTCTCTCAAATAAATAAATAAAATCTTTAAAAAAAAAAAACAAAAACAGCCTATTTATTCAAGTAGACATTTTGAATCTTGGGGAACCTTAGGAGGTTATGAATGTCACTGTGTAGTATAGCTTACTGAATGAGTCTCCTATGCTTAGGTATTTAGATAGTTTTCAGTATTTTGCAATTACAAATAATGCTGCAGTGGATAACCTGGTGCATATGTTTTCTTAAAATGTTGGAGGTGCATCTCAGGGTCGGTTCATAGTAGTTCATATACTAGGTTGAAGGGTAAATCAGTATGTAGTCTATTTGTAGAGAATGCTAAATTCCACCAGCATGTTTAAGAGTGCCAGTTTCCCCCTAGCCTCACCAGTAGAGTGTATTGTGTTTTGAAGTTTTGTCAGCTTGGTGGGTGAGAAAGTGATCTCAATGTAGTTTTAATGAATTTCTCTTCTTAATGAGGGGAGTTAAACATCTTTTTACATTTTTAAAGATCATGTAATATTTCTTTTTGAATATCATTTGTTCATCTCTTTTTTCCATTTTCTATAGGAATTTTGGTCTTTTGTTTCCTCAGTTATTTCAAGTTTTTTTAATATATTAGGGATATTAGTTCTTTATCCATGAAATATGTTATGATATTTTCTCCCAGTTTGTCATTTGTCTTTTGACTTTTCTTACGGTGTCTTTTGTTGTGCGAAGTTTGTTATTTTTATGTAGTAAGATTTGTCAATCTTGTTGCATTTGACTTTTGGGTAGTAGAAAACTTTCCCTTCAGGGGTGCCTGGGTGACTTAGTTGGTTAAGTGTCCAACTCTTGATTTGGGCTCAGGTCATGATCTTAGGGTTCTGAGATCGAGCCCCACGCTGAGCTCCATGCTGGGCGTGGAGCCTGCCTTAGGGTTTTCTCTCCCCCTGTCCCTCAGCCCCTTCCCCCACTCCAGAAGGAAGGAAGCTAGGAAGGAAGGAAGGAATCTAGGAAGCTTTCCCTTCAGATTATAGAATCTGATTGGGTGAATAAGGATTCACCTAAGATTTCTTCCACTGCATGCATAGTTCCTTGTTTTCATTTAGATCTCTGATACATTGGATTTTTTTATTTTATTATGTTAATCAGCATACATTACATCATTAGTTTTTGATGTAGTGTTCCATGATTCATTGTTTCCGTATAACACCCAGTGCTCCATTCAGTACGTGTCCTCTTTAGTACCCATCACCAGGCTAACCCATCCCCCCACCCCTCTCCCCTCTAGAATCCTCAGTTTCTCAGAGTCCATAGTTTCTCATGGTTCGTCTCCCCCACTGAATTCCCCCCCTTCATTTCTCCCTTCCTACTGTCTTCTTTTTTTATTATTATATATGGTATGAGAAATGGATCTGATCTTATCCTTTTTCAGTGATTATCCAGTTGGCCCCCCTCCATTTTATTTAAAAGACTGTCTTTGCCCCAGTGATTTGAGATACCACCTTTATCATCTGCTAAAGTCCATATGTATATGGGTCTGTTTTTGGGCTTCCTATTCTATTCTGTTGTTCATTTATTCATATATCAATACCATACACTATTTTAAACATACACACTTTGTAGGATGTGTTAATACCTCTCAGTCCCCTCGCATGGCTCTTTGTTTTCATTCTTTCCCTAGCTATTCTTACATGTTTATTTTTCCTTATGAATTTTAGTATTAACTTGTTTAGCTTCATGAAAAAATCTTATTGGCATTCTTATGGGATCACATCAAGATATCTTGATGTTGAGACATCCTATCCCAAGAACGAGGGATATCTTTTAACTTGTTCAAATCTACCGTTGTGCCTTTCAAGAATATTTTATAGTATTTTTGTTAGTTTTGAATGCTTTTAAAATGCTTTTCTTATTTTGTTTGTTGTTGCTGTTATAAATGATTGTATCCAGTATATCTTCTAACTAGTTATACATGTATATGTTCCCTTTGTATACTGCAAGATCTCTTCCAGCCTTAGAAGATAGAGCGTCTCCCTCTAAAAGTAAAGGGCAGGTTTCCGCACAGTCCTAGAAGATACAGCTAGTGCTTTCCCTGGAGCAAAAAGCAAGCATGCTCACTGTCCAGGATAAGAAAGAAGTTTCCCCTCAGCACAAAGGTCCAGCTGCTTACTACCCTCTGTGAAATATTCCAGTTCCACACCTCAGGGTTCTTCTGTAATGAGAGCTACTGTGGCCCTTTTCACATTGCCCTCTGAGGAAACTGGCCCCAAAATGCTGATGCTCTAGCTACTGCTTTGCTGTATTTAATTGTCCTTCATCTCTGATCCAGGAGTCTTGTGTTTTCTCTACCACAACCCATGAACCTGTGGCAGACTAACTTGTTAGCTTGCAAGTAGGGGAAAATCTCATACCATGCTCACTTCTTGACAGTGGTCTTCAAAGTTGTAAAATTTTCCTAGAAACCACTTTGTGAAGTAGTTCCTTGGTCATTTTCTATTTCTTCTATGGAAATCGGTCTGTTTATGCTTTTTAAGAAAATTTATTTATTTTAGAGAGAGCATGAGCACGAGTGAGCAGGGGGAAGGGACAGAGGGAGAGGAGAGAGAGAATCTCAAGTAGACTCCGAGCTGAGCATAGAGCCTGGTGTGGGGATTGATCTCATGACCGTGAGATCATGACCTGAGCCCAAATCAAGAGTCCGATGCTTAACCAACTGAGCCACCCAGGCGCCCCTCTGTTTGCTTTTTATTTTTACTCTTCACTTTTTTGTGCTTATTGGCTTGGAGCAAAGGGATGGGGTCTCTTGAACAAACTTCAGTTGTACATTGTTTTTTATTTTCCTGTGAGGTCTCCTTGCCTATCTTTCATGAAGAACCGTTATTGCCCTTCTAGATAACTAGCGTGCCAGTCTAGCTTGCAGTAAATAAGAGGGAAAGTATGCCTTGTAGCTAAAGGTGTAAAAATGAACGTCCTTTCTGTGTTTGTTTTTCCACAGGTGGTGGTTGTACAGGCAATTAGTGCTCTCTGTCAGAAATACCCTCGAAAGCACAGTGTCATGATGACTTTCCTCTCCAACATGCTCCGAGATGATGTAGGTAGACATGTTTTCAACATAGGAAGTTGCTCTCTTAAATTTTTATGATACCCATGAAATATCCTACATGGTATTTAAAACAGCTCTATCATCTTGGCATGCCTCCAAAATGGTATGCTTAATTCTGGTTGCTGTTTTATCGTTACATATGCTATTGTTTTAGTTTTCCCCCTTGGAGAAAAAAAAAAAAAAAACACTTTTGTTTCTTTCAGAAGGGAAAGGAAATGAAATTTGAATATTAGAAGCTTGAGCCTGGGAGTAGAAGCATTTCTCCAAAAAGCGTCCTCAGAATGAATGGCAGTTTTCTCTTTTGCCAGGGAGGCTTTGAATATAAGCGGGCCATTGTGGACTGCATAATCAGCATTGTGGAAGAGAACCCTGAGGGTAAAGAAGCAGGTCTAGCCCACCTTTGTGAATTCATTGAGGACTGTGAACACACTGTTCTGGCTACTAAGATTCTACACTTGTTGGGCAAAGAGGGCCCCAGAACGCCTGTCCCCTCCAAGTATATCCGCTTTATTTTTAATAGGGTCGTACTGGAGAATGAGGCTGTCAGAGCTGGTGAGTCATTGGAACGCTGATACTGATGTACCTGCTAATCTTTTGAAATGCTTGTTAACTCAAGGGGGTGGTGATGAAATTGGAAAATGAAGTTGCAAGGTCTATTTGACAGTAGGATCTTGGAGCATACTTAGGCCAGACACACTGCTCTTGGTCTGTACTACAGTTTCCATCCTGATTTCTGCCTTATGTTAGAGACAAATGACCCCTGGCTGTCAGTACGATAGGAGTACGGTGATGGCGTCATGCGGTTTTTCAGAGTGAGAGCCGTCAGTATGAGTATCTATGAATTGTGTGTGTGTGTTTCAATTAAGAGACTTTTACACAGGTCTTAGAAATTTGTTTACTTCCTCCTTCCTCTCTAATCATTCCTTCCCCTTAGCATACGAACAGGTGAAAGTCTCTCCTATTAAAAATTATAAACCCTCCTCTGATGCGTTGTTTCTTACTAGCTACTGACTAGACCTCCCCTGTCAGGTAAACTTGAAGCAGCTGTTACTAGCTGCCTCCATGAATTTATTGTCCATTTTTTTCTTCAACTCACTTTAATCTAGCTTTCTCCCTTAAAAGCCCTCTGAAGCTTCTATTTTTAAAAATTACTTAGAAGCTAGTTGGAAAATCAAGTCAGTCACTGACGTTCTTACCTTTGTTCACCGCTCACTCAGCCTGATGGACTCTTGACTAAACACATCTCGAAACTCTTTCTCGCTGTGGTGTCCACAGTAGCCCGCATCTTCCATCTCTCCCCGGTCTGATTTCTAGGGCCTCTCTTTCATTCCTTAAAATACGAGTTTTTCTTGGAAGTCTGTCTTACAACACACGCTCTCTTCCCCGGGGGTCGTCTTCGGTGCTCCACCGGCGTGCGGTGACATCACAGTCCTGTCTCTTTCCTAAACCTGTGTGTCCACTGTCTCAGGCACTTCAAGTTCAGCCCAGACGCAAATCCTCACCTTCACCATCCACTCCGTTGTGAAGACGGAAACTACTGCTGTTGTAGAACTCCCGTCTGCCCTCTTGACAAAATTCTGTCAATCTCACCTGCTGACGATTTCTCCGTCCTCCTCTGTCTCTGTTTTCACAAGGCTGCTCTAGGCTCTCCTCCCCCTCAGATGCCCGACCGGTCCGACGGCGTGAGTCCTGCGGGCATCCGGTCTGGTCTCCACACTCTGCATACAGGATGTGCCTACAAACTGGCTGTAGTGCGGTCTGCTACAGATACCCACATTTATCCCGTATTTAACGTCCACTCCTAAGAACTCTGAGGCGCACCCATACCTGTTTTGTTCTCCCCCTGCTCCCCGGCGCAGAGCGTCCACCTTAGCTTCGCTCGGCTGTGTCCATTCCAGTATCGTACACACTCTCTCTGCCCGGAATGCTCCTCTCCTGCCTTCTCCCCCTGGCGAACGCTGCGTGGCCATCAGGTGTTTGCACAGCTAGCAAGTGTCGGCTCCCCAGCTTACTTCTCCAGCAGTTCTAAGTTGCATCCTGGATGTAGTTCTCCCAGGACTTCCTCGTTATCTCTTCCCTCGCCTGTCTTCCGCACTAGAGTACAAGTCCTGGAGGTCAGGAACTGTGTCTTTCCTCTTTTCGCCCCCAGCACCTGGCACAATTCCTGACAAAGGTTAGGTGGGCGATAAATCTTTACTGAATGAAGTGAATTTAACAACAGAGTTTCTTATTATGCTTGGGGCTGGTTGTTTGAGTTGGAGCTGAATTACATCACTGTGATATACAAGGGGTTGTGGTCAGAGTGGAGGAGAGCTCATGCAAGAAATACATATGATTCTTGGAGGATTTTCCTATTCGTAGCTCTCTTGGGCCTGCAGATTTCTAGTTATGCTTACATGGATCAAAGAAATAAAGTCAAGAAACACTCTTTTAATTTCTTTAATGATGATTGCTTAACTCTGAGAAACCAATACAGTATTTATGTTGTTTTATTTTATGCTTCATTATAGCTGCTGTGAGTGCTTTGGCTAAATTTGGGGCTCAAAATGAGAATCTTCTCCCAAGCATCCTTGTACTCTTACAAAGGTAAGTAAAACGATGCCTTTTTTTTTTTAAAGAAACACCATATGACTGAATAGAGAATTTATCAAATCCTTTGTGGGGCCTGAGAGTAGAACAGACAGAGTAAGTCAGAGGCAAATGGCATTTGTTACCTTTCTAGTAATCTTGTATGTGTGCTGTGTATGCGTAAATTTGACTTTGAATTTATGTTGTGTGAGTTTGAGGAAGTAACTTAAATGCCCGTGCCTCAATTTGCATAACAGGGGCCAACTTCAAAGTGATTCACTGTGGAGAGTTGAAAAATCAGCTTTTCATGGTTTCTGTAACTCCCTATTTGATGAGGAAAAGACCTGCTTTCGCAAATACTCTGTGATTACATCTTGTAATTGAAGCAGAAAAATTACAGGCCAAAGGCTGGCCAGTTTAAATAAAACAAATTGTCATTTGAGTGGTAACAATGCCTGGATTCTGAATCCTTGTTAGTATCCTTGGAAAGCAGAATATTCCCGTCTCGTAATTATAAAGAAGTCTAAATCTACCAGGGTCATGTGGTTGCATATTCAAGAATAGACTCGCAACTGCTCTCTCGTGTTGTTGTGTCCTTCCTAATTATTCGAATGCCTACTCATGTCGTGCTTCTGGTTCGGAATGACCCTATTTTTTTACCAATTTAGAACAGTCTCCCAAACTTATGGAGATTGTAGGATCCACCGCTGGCTGTTATGGAGGTCTTTTATAAAGGTAGTATCAGATGGTCTGAACTGTGCCCTTTAGGTGTGATAAAGAAGGCTCTTGGCAGTTTTTAGGGTACCGTGACCTGCCCCTTCTGTGTCCCCCTGGACAGGTGTATGATGGATACCGATGATGAGGTTCGGGACAGAGCCACTTTCTATCTGAATGTGCTGCAGCAGAGGCAGATGGCACTGAATGCCACATACATCTTCAACGGTCAGTGAGAGCCAAGAATGGAGACAAATACACTTTTGTTCCCCAAATGGTGTCTTGGAAGCATTATCTCATGATTTGCATATGAGCCGACTTCATTAGGCAAAATGCTTGTTTTTTTTTTGTCTTTGACTGCACTTTCATTTCTAGGGGAACCTAAAGTATGTAAAGGCCCAAGGAACAAGGCTTGTTCCTGGTTCTCCTTGAGCTCCCTCTTGGTTGGGTTTACCTTTTTTTCTTATGTTACGATTGTTCCCACATGGCTAAGTTGCTTTCTTTTCCGAAAGGTACTTAAAATTTGTTGGAAATTTTTATGCTCTGCTCTCATGCTTCCTTGGGCAAAATGATAAGGCAGTTTTATAAAATAGCTTCATTTTTAATGATTTTGGCTATAAAGTCTATGGTTTTACTCTACTCTTCTCTTTTGTCAGAAAACTTAGGTAAATACTACAAATCTGGGCCTGCCTGGATCCTAGGATTGTTATAATGCTGAGATTTCTGTTTCATAGGCCTCACCGTCTCAGTGCCAGGGATGGAGAAAGCCCTCCACCAGTACACACTGGAGCCTTCGGAGAAGCCCTTTGACATGAAGTCTGTTCCTCTTGCTATGGCTCCCGTGTTTGAGCAGAAAGCAGGTAGTGGGAACGCTTAACTGTTAGTTTTCTATGTTTTACATCCATCAAATATGCTGTTAGTGTATTTCTCAAATACCTCTTTTGTTTGTTTAATTGTTGTTCCTAAATCTTATGGCACTAAGATGGATGTATTTTTTTTAATTAGGCAGTTTTTTCCTGGGGCGCCTGGGTGGCTCAGTTGGTTGAGCATCCAACTCTTGGTTTTGGCTCAAGTCATAGTCTCAGGATCACAAGATCGAGATCGAGCCCCACGTTGGCTCCGCGCTCAGTGGGGGTAGTCTTCTTGAAAGATTCCCCCTGCCCCTCCCCACTCTTGCATGTCCATGTGCGCTCACTCTCAGATAAATAAATCTTTAAAAAAAATTAAAAGTTGTCCCCTGGTTTTCGCATAGAGTATGAAACATTACCTAGATTGAGTGTTTTCTTCTTTTAATGCTAAGTGTTAACAGCATTTGAAGTTAGTGGTCACTGTGTGTCTCAGAACAGTGATTGTGCTGTTACCTCCTGTTTTTATTTTCTGAAATTGGTAGTTTCAGTTAATTTTGCTATTGGAGGTTTGTTGTGAAAGAATATATGGGACAAGATCATAAAAAATATTCCCAAAGAATTTCAAACTTTAAAACTCGAACAACAACAACAAAAAAAGAAAAAAAGTGTTTAGTGGCTCAAACTAAGGATGAAAGATATTATGCTGACCTTCAAATTTTTCAGTTTTTCTGTTGATACTATACCAGTAATTTTTCCTGTTTGAATCATGAGATTTGTTTTATAAATTGCTCCTCCTTTTAAGAGTAATTTTTTTTTTGTACCTCCTGGTCCATTTAAAGCAAATTCTGTATTTTTAGGGCCACTTTATTATTTCACAAAATACGTTCACTAAATACACTTTTTAATTTAAGCATCTCTCCAAAAAAGGTGACAAAGAACCTACTGGTATGATTGAGGAATAGCTCCTTATATATCTGCTAGAAGTTTCTGTCCTCATTTCTTTTGTCTGCATTTTTAGTTTGATAGTGGGAGGGAAACTCACTTGATTGCTCATATCTGTCTTTGTAGAAATCACACTTGTGGCCACGAAGCCAGAGAAGTTGGCTCCTTCCAGGCAAGACATTTTCCAAGGTATGATGATTTGATGTGTAGAAATAATAGTCTTGCATCCCAGGCATTGTAAATATAATGAAGTCCACTACTTTTATTCAAAGTGACTAATTCTTAGTACAGGAAATCTTTGTATGACTGAATATCTGTTGTTACAGGTGACAGTTACCTGGAGTCCATGGGACTTTCCAGTTTCCAACTGCTAACTCACTAGCTGGGAGTATTGTCTTTACTCTGTATCTTGGTTAATAGGGAACTCAAATTCTACAAAATGAGGAATTTAGTTTCTTTTTTTTTTTCCTTGTAGTAATTCAGTATATAAAAACTCTCTTAAGAGACTATTTCACTAAAGCTTGGGGATATATTAGTTGAGCCTTCAACTGTGACAAAGGCAGTGGAAACTTAAAACATTTTAGGCACCCAGAGTAATGTCTGTTCCTTTCTCATGTTACTTTCTTCCTTCTCTTCTTTTTTTCTCAAAAGAACAATTGGCTGCCATTCCCGAGTTTATGGATCTGGGACCCTTGTTCAAGTCTTCTGAGCCTGTTCAACTTACAGAAGCAGAGACGGAATATTTCGTTCGTTGTATCAAGCATGTGTTCACCAATCACATCGTGTTCCAGGTGAGGGACGTGCCCTCACCAGCTCCCATAGTGGCTCCATGTGCTCAGAGACGGGTATTGCTTCCCCTCTGGCTTATGATTCCAGCTGCTTTCTACTGAGAAGGGACTTGGCCTCATTTCTGGGGGTTTTCCTGACTCCATAGCTACAGAAACACCTCTATGTGAGGGCTAAAATTTATAAGGACATAAAACCGAAATGTCTGAAGGAGTCAGACATCACATAGAACCTCTTCAAAAATAATCCTCATTTAACATCAGGGTAAATTAAGTGGGTCGTTCCAAGAACTTGGATTTCAATATGATTCTTAGCCATCAGACTTCTACCATCTTGTTTGGTAGAACTCAATCTCAGGAAAGAGAAGAAACTGACGAATAAGAGAAACAAAAGTAACTCAAGGCAACCCCTGTTGCCTCAAGAAAAGTCTTAGGAGGAGACCTGCAGGACAGTTCAGAGAGGGAAAGGCTAGAGGGTTCCAGAACGGAGTCGTGGGTCACAGGTGGGAAGGAACAGCTTACTTGAAAACAGTTGTTAGCCCTCATAACTTTTCTGTCTGCTGACTTTTCAGTTTGACTGTACCAATACTCTTAACGACCAGCTGCTGGAGAAGGTGACAGTGCAGGTGGACCCGTCGGATTCCCATGAAGTGCTGTGTTGCATCCCAGCCCCCAGCCTCGCTTACAATCAGCCAGGAATATGTTACACTCTGGTTCGCCTGCCTGATGATGACTCGACAGCAGGTACTAACCCACAGGAGGGAAGAGAGAGGAGTAAGAACGCGTTACAACTTGAGCTCTTAAATGTCTGGGCAAATGTGTGGGGTTTGGGAATATGGTTCTTTTCCAGAATGAAATGTAATGATAATGACGGTATGTTTATATTTATAAAATTAATTACTGCTGCAGAAATATTAACTTTATAACTAAGTCTCTGAGTAATATTTGCTGGGCGTTTAATGTTAAAAACTGAATGTATATGGTGGTAGCTCAAAAAGGAACTCAGGCTTCCTGGTGGAACAGTGTAACCACTAATGAGGGTTCAGGGACCTGACGTCTCCTGTGAAGGGTCATGGCCTCCTCATCCCTGATGTTTGTTTCTGGGCCATCCTAAGGACTTTGTATTTAGTAGGTCCATGGCATTTTAAAGTAATTGTTTCTGGGGTCCTATCGCACAAGGCTGGTGTCTGACAGTATGTCTCATCCTAATGAGTGGCTTAGCCAACTTCTGTGTAGCCACATTTGAGAAGGGCGTTGTGAGTCTCTCCTTGACCCTATCTGCAGTTTTGAGAGAGGGGCGGGGCAGCCTATGAAGGAGGGCCAACTGCTAGGGCCAGTAGGGTCTACGTATTTGGGGTTTGAGGTCTTGTGACTGACCTTTCGTGAATGTCAAATATTTATTGTACTTGATTTCTCTTCCCATTTTCCCACCTGAATTCTTCTCTTCCCACATCCACTCCACATCTCGACACTGTTACCCAGTTTTTACAGAAATAAGCACCCGTATCACATTTATGTTTTGAACAATTTTATTACTAGTACAGGAAAAAACAATTTTTACTGCTAGTACACACAAAAAAACAATTTTTACTAGTACACGAAGAAACAATTTTTCCTACTGGTATAGGAAAAAAACAGAAGTTAACAAAATTCACAAATACTGGGGAAAGAAGTTACAGAGTTACAAGAAATCGTAAAAGTACTAGTAAATAGTTATCCCTGGTCATCATTCAGTTCTGTCTGGGGCTTAACCTGCCTTCTCTTAGCCCCTCTCCCAACTCCCCTTTTAGATGTTGGTTCTGGGAGCCCCTGCCCAATCTCCTCTGTGTTGGACGATAGACCAGGCTACTCACTCTAGCACGAGGTAGATTCAAGTTGGCACCATTGCTGGGTCTGAATCCCAGGTGGTTCCCTCTGGCCCTCGGCGGACCTGCACTTCTCTTCTGCAGCCACTCTGGATCCATAACCCCCTGGGTAGGAAGGCACTTTCCTATCTGGCCTCCAATATTTCTCTTTCAAGCATTTGGCCATCTGACTTGGACTTTTAATCACCTCCTTTATCTCTTTATGAAGTTTCTCTCGCTCCATCCCCTTTTGGCTTCACTTTCTCTCCTGGTCTGTTTCCCTCTGTCTAAAGGATGTCCACTAATGAAGCTGGCTGTACTCTTTAAGTCAAGCTAGTTTTATTTACCCTTCTTCCAAACCAGTATTGGGGCCCAGTCTTAACATCGCCCTGTGGCTTTAGCCATCATCCTGGGAAACTGCATTTTATCATTTTTTTTTCCCAATAGCCACCTCTCCTTTTTTCAAAATTCCCCCCTTATTGTACTTCTAAGGTTTCTGTTTTTTTTTTTTTTTAAGGGATGCCATTACTTTGCAACTTAATTTTAAAGGGAAGTGAAATGCTGAACTCACTGAAGAATCCAGCTCTTCCCAACTGAGAATACTAGCTCCTCCCATTTCCCCAGGTTCACTTGGATAATTGATAACTCAGGTGCCTCACACCCCAGGGAGTGGTCTTAACAGAATACAAGAAATACAAGATTACAATATCAAAATACAGAAAACAACAATATCAAAATTACAGAAATTACATTGTACAGGAGAAAACAACCACAACAATAAGAGAAAACATTTCTATCAAGAGAAGAAGCATAGGGAAGGTTTTCTCACCCCTCCTTTCTAAGGAGTTAATTTATTTTTAAAACGTAGATCTTACGTTAAATTAGCCCAGAGGTTTCAACCTTTGGTCTGCTGGCTATGGACTCTTTTGCTTGGTGGTTTGTTAGTATTTTGTTTATAAAAATTTGGCACTTGGAGAATTTTGTTTCCTTTTAAATGTTTCAAAGGGTTTGCTGATTGGTGTTAAACTCTTGTTTAGAGTTATAAACTCTTGTCTTTGCATCTTGGAGAAAAGAAATGGAATTTTGTCCCAACACTTGGACCTTTAAAACTTAATTGTTAGTAGTCAATTTATATTTGACCCATCATATACCTGCTTAAAACCAAACTCCTTTCTATTCTTTAGTCTTGGTCAGAAATTCTCACATTTTTAATCTACAGCCAATTCAGAGTCTTTGCTGTGCAAAGAACAGAAGTGAAATACCAGGGCATAGATGGTAATAAGAGTCTTCTAACCCCCTCCCCGCCTTTTGCATTTTCCCCACTGCAAATACTATGAATTTTTCCAATCACCTGAAGATCTATACATCACTTCTACTAATTGCAAAAAGTATATTTTTCATACAACCACAGAAGAGAAAAGAAATTACACAGATTGCGATTTCTATCAACTTGAAAACTGTATAGCATAATAGAAAGACAGAGATAGATAGATTTTTGGGAGATAGATTGGGATCTGGATTTTGACTGCTACATATGGACTGGGTAACTTAGACAGATTATTAATTCTCTGTAAACCTTTTAGGACTGTTATAAGGATGAAATGAAATTAAATAAGATGATTAGCATGGTACCAGACACATAGTAAATACTCAATAAATAGAAGTTGTTATTGCTTCAGTTCTGGAACTACCCACTTTCTCCCTTTATCATCTTTAAAATCAAGTCTTCCACAGTTCACAGGACACACACCCCCCAACCTCCAGAGAGTTGTTCTAGCAATTATCCTGATCTTTGCTGCATCTTTAAGCTTTCTCTCTCCCCCTTACTTTATATGTGTGCAAAAAATCTAAACCCCATCTGACAGAATTTACCTGAACCCAACATCAAGAGGCTCCCGTAAGTCCTTCCTGCAAATCGTGGGCAGTGTGTGGAAGGAGTTATCCGTATCACAGATCTCAATTCTGAGTCCTACTGGTCATCTTCTGTCCTCCAGCTGTTCCTCCTTTATGCAAAAATGTTCAGAAAAGCCTTCAAGGCAGCATTCTTTCTTAGCGTCCTTTCCCATTCAGCAGCTTTCTTTCCCCTGAGGCTTTACTGCACTCACAGATGACGTGTGCAACATTCTACAAATCTTTCCCCTCACTGGACCTCGAGGTTGGCCCCTGCCTGTTGAACTTTGTGTCCCCCTCCCTATTCAGAATCACTGTGACCCCTCTATAGCTTGTATTATGGGACCATCAGGCCTTAGTGCCTCACGCTTCTCATCTCAGACCACTTCAGCCCATTTACATAACTCACTCAAAAAGTCTACAACGGAAAATATCCATCCTAAGATCCAGCTGAACAGTATATACATAGGAGCCTTTTTTTCCTTCTGTCATGAGGGACGCTGATGACAACTCATAGCTCATGTCTGCTGCTGGGCTCGACTCTCTGCCGGCACTTGCTTGACCCCCATCCTCACTTGAGCTACTGCGGGATTCCGATAGGCTCAAACCACCGCCCCCCTCGGCCAATCTGTAGTCTCCATTCCATTCTTTGGTGTTTGATATTAATCATATTAACTACTGACACTCTGGATGAACAGCTTCAATTACCTAAAATCTATCTCAGATTTTTTCACTTTTACCTACCTCCAACCACTCACTGGGATCCTTATTCATGACCCTTCATGAAACTTTGCATTCTTCCAAGCTAAGCACATATTCCGCATTTTTACTCAAATATTAAAAAAGTAGGATAGGTAGAACATTATTATTCAACCACCACTTCCTCTGCCTCAATCACTAGAATGGGTGTCAGTCTAGCCTTAGAATCAGTATTCCTCCAGTCTGACCCATTATGAGATTGGCCAAGATTACCAGTCTCCGATCTCCTTATTCACCTGCTCATTCATCTTGTCACCGATCTGGCTCTCCTCAAATACACTGAAACTGCTAACATTCCCTTCTCTGCTTATTTTCAGCCTGTCTTCCCATCTTATTTACATGTGCCCTTGTCACCCCATCATCAAGGTACAAATCTTTATTGCTGCCTTTCTTACATGATAACATCTCTCCAGAGAAGGCAACGTAAACGTGGCATATCCACCCATTTCCTCTTGTCCCTTCTTTTGGCCTTAGGGAAAGACCTCTGCTTGTTTGTAGCACTCAGGCTTGCTTCCACTTGGGAACTTCCTCCTTAACCTACTCTCATCACTCAGAATTCCTCTGATGTCTTACACGCACCTTCATCTTTGGACATCTGAAGCACCTTCAGGCTTCACTTCCTGAATTTATCTCCAGATGATATGACGTTATTCTCCTGGATCTACCCACTTCCCTGTGATTATCTGAGAGAGTTTGCAGGCAGACACCTCTTTCCTACAACAGTTGATTTTTATATATTTCCCCCATTTTCCTTTATCCCATTAACGGTGATCAAGTTAATAGGCAGTGCTGTGCATCATAACCATTAGAACATTGCTCAATAATTCCGAGAATTATTTAGTAAGTACACTGTCAGCTTAATTCTAATTCCATTTTAACCACTTCTCTTTCCATTTTTCCTCTGCTCATTTCCATTGGAAAAACAGTAAATATATAAGTAGGGTGTCACCGTCGACAGCATGCATATTTACCAGTGCTCGGTGCGGTGCTTTCAAAGTCCAGTGAGCTTGCCCTGGACCACCCGTGCTTTATGCTTGGCTGTCCCATAGCCTCTCCCTCTGGGAATATTCTGCATTGTCTGTCGTCCCATCAAAGAGCGCTTGCCCGCAGATACAACAGCACGCACTTGTTCTCATATTCCTTAGCATGCTCCTGCCCTCTGGCCTCATTACCACACACACCTTTCCTCTTGCCCCCAGAGCTGCCGATGTCCCCGGATGGGAGTTCTTCAGGGCACTCTTCCATTCTCCG